GGGCTCTTTAGGTAGGCCGGTCAGGCAAAGGAAAAGGAACTTCACCCTAGGGAGGTGGAGGGTAGTAGAAGATGAGATCGGAAAGCTCCTTGCAGCAGAATTCGTCAGAGAGGTCTTGTATCTAAGCTAGGTAGCCAACCCAGTTTTCTTAAAAAAATGAATGACAAGTGGGTCATGTGCGTCGATTACACTGACCTCAACTGACTTGCTAAAAGGACAGTTTCCATATCCCCAAAATAAACTACCCGATAGACGCGACATTGGGGCATGAGTTGCTGATCCTCATATGCCTACCTCCGCTTTCAGCCTCACAAGGTACACGATTTAACTCTCACATACCATTACTCTCAAGCAATAAGCTCTTTATAATCTCTTTTGCTAACTTAAGCATCAAAGTGCTCACACTAGGTAAAGCACCACGGATCACTATGATCTTCTTGCCTTGCTGTTTGACCCGACCATGTAGCTGGTCTAACATCCGAACTGCCTTCCAGCAGGGAGCGACCAGATCACATATCATTACTTGTCATTGCTAATTCTCTATATTTTCAAAACAATGAATCTCTCTCTCTCTCTCCTTGACTTCTTTGTTTTTATAATCATTTTCTAGAGTCATGAAGTTTTGATGAAATTTAATTAGTTACTTTGAGGTTTTTGATTGACGTGAAACATGCAATTGTTCATATGGTTGATAGTTGGTACGACTATGATGAATTGGAGCATTTGGGCAATAGCTAGTTCATTGATTATTGTCGGAAATCAATGGATATGCACTTTGGTTTTGGATAAAGATGGTTTGCACTTTGTAGAACATCCTTTTTTTTTTCTTTGTTCAAACTACATTGGGTTTGCATTCATAACCTTAGATTCTTCGTGCTGGAATAAGTTGCTTGCCTTCGACTATTCCAAGTTTACATCCACTGTTTGATGCCCATTAATCCTTGCTTATCGGTATAAGAATTGAAAAGAATAAACATTTTCTGAATTTTAACATTTCAATTGTGTGGTGATAAGCTTTTAGCATCCAACTTTATTTGCTAATTTGTGAGTTGGCATTGACATAAGTCCAACATTACTGATTCTCTGACGTTGTCACACCCCTTCCTTGAATTTTCTTAATGTGGGTACAGAGATAAAAATGTTGGGTTATTAAATAACATGTTTATTTTTCCTTCTTTTTTTTCTATTTCTCATTATTATACATCAATGTATATGTATTTGTTCCAGAAGTTCAATGTAGGAACTAGGAAGTGATTGCAATGATTAATTTCAGTGTTGATGAACAAAGGGAGAGCTTTGCCAAAGTAATATGAAGAGATATTTTGAAGATGCTGGAGAATATTCAAATAGGTCTACATCTACAGGTATACTTTAATTTTATCTATTGTCTTTATGGGGTTAAAAATATTATTCTGCTAATGAAAGCATTCTGCATTTATTTTATTTTTGTCCCTTTTCCAGACCCATGTGGCTTAGCTCATCATTGGTCTCAATGCTTAACAATTCTCCATGGATGGTTTGGTTTGGGTTTAACTCTTCTTACTAGCTTTGCTTAATCTCACTTGTAGCCGGAGTTGCTTAGTTGGATATGCATGAGAATATAGTCTCTTGTACCAATTTTGTGTGAAACCATTAGAATTCAATGTGATGGAGGTCTCTTAGGAAAACATAAAAGTACTTATGGTTTTTATTTGCTTCTCACTCTCCTAATTTGTTTTCTATGGCTGTAGATGGAATCTTTTTGGCTATTATTGGTGAAAGTTTTGGAAGCTGAGCTTAGGGTAATTCATGCAGTAATTTTGTTTGTCAGGCTTAATTTGAAAAGAGTACAAATACAAATATGTACAACACAAATACATACAAAAATAATACAAACTAGTGAAAATACAAGGTTTTATATTCTACAAATTTGTATTTATACTCTTTCCAAACTGAACCTCAAGGAAAAAGCTTGAAATTCCATTATGATAGAATCAGACTCCTTTAGAATGTCATGAACTAGAAATCAAATTCTTTCTCATAGACTTTGTTACACTCATCTATGGAGGCTTGGTTCTCCCTCTCTTCATGGTTATATTATTTTGCAGCTTTCAAAGTTTCATTCTTTTTCTGTTCAAAGGATTAAAGTTTCATTAGTTATATGAAAAATTATGGGGTCCATTATAAAATCTCTAAGCCAATTTTATTTACGAGTGCAACATTAAATAAATTAAGATCCCAAAAATTGCATATAAAGGAATTAATGAATTAAATTTTAACCCATCAGAGGTTTTCATATACCCCTAATAGTTCATAGGGTCTGACTATAACACTGGAAAAACTTATAACCAATCAATCCTCATCATAAAAGTGGTAATCAATAAGTTGGTTTTCATCAAAAGGGGTTTTGGCTTTTGATTGGTAAATGCTCTTTCGACAAATTAACATCTGCGCCCCTCCCCGAGTACATGCACATCTTAGCATGCATTGTGAACATCTCATATATTTGTTATTTGAGAGATGTTCCAAATACATAGTTAGAATGTGCTGTGGGGTGCAGATATGAATTTTCTTTCGATATCATATCTTTCTCATTTCATAGATTTTCCTCATTTTATATTAGAAAAATAAGAATGGAGAACCACCCTTGGTGATACCAATTAGAAGGGATTTAGAATTCAATGACTTGTTTCTTTGTCTTTTATTAGGGTCATACTAATTAATCTGATACTACTTTTTTATTTTATTTTGATATCCTATTAATCCATTAGATTCATCAAAGTCATTCGTTTCGAACATTGTAGCTGTTATTAACCAGACCATTAATTTCTTTGCAAAACCCACTAGTCTACTACTCCATAAAGGAAGGGAAATCCTATACCTCTTTCACTTCATTCGTTATTTTTCCTTCTTTTTAAACATTACATCCTATATCCCCAGTAGGTTGAACTTGGGTAGCGCACAACTAACCTTGTATATTTCTTTATCCATCTTAATAAAACACCTGATTTTCCAATTGTACCCATAAAAATTTGAGTTTTTAAGTCATTTATTAAAATATCCCTATATTTTCATGGTTTTATTAAAAGCTATCATTTAGTTGGCATTTTATTAAAACTTGATTTATTCAATCGACTTTCTCTTTATACAGGGACCAAAACTAAACAAACAAACAGGGTGTTTGGTTTCGTGGGTATTTATTTAATAAATGTTGTCACATAGGTGTCATTTCAATGATTTTCTTTTCTTGTTCTGTCGTACACATCAAGAATAATAAAAGTGGATTTCGATTTTTGTGCACATTTATCATTTGGGAAAGTTATTTTTAAAGCTTCCACAAATGTTTTAGGTGTTTTTTCACTGTGCTGATGTGGAGGCTAGTGGTGCATAGTTGTCATAAACAATTGTAATTATTCCCTTTCTTAGTTTTGCAAGTAAATAAAATACAAATATTGAATGAAAAACGTAAAAAGAACCAAACACATATAAAATGGCTGCTTGTGTTTTATCAAGGGCAAGAAAGACATTTTATATGATTTTCTTTTGATTAATTTATTTTTCAAATAACCATTAAGTCAAAACCATAATAGTTTCTATTTAAAAAATCAATTAAGTAAATTGGTTAGATGATGTTTTAACAAAATGCAAATTATAGGGATGTTTTAGTAAATAACATAAAAGATTTGTGGGGTCATCAATATCCTTCTATGCTAAGCTGCATGGAAGTTCCTCACTTCCTCTAGTTTGTCCTACAATACTCTTCTCACTAAATCCTCTTCACACTATGCTCACAGCCACTCTCAGCCTTTCGCTATCGTGCATTAGGAATATCTTTTTATAAATAAAAAGATACAAATATAAAAATATTCCAGATGCATGGTTGCAAAAGGTTATCAACACGATGTAAGATTGTAAGGATGGTTTTGTGGGAACTGAATCTAATCTCCCTAATATTGACATCTATCGTTAAAATCATATTGGCGCCCCACATTACATCCCAATCGTGTATGTGTATGGAAAAATCTCTTATAGGAGATGTTCCTACTGCACGCTGAGATGTGCATGTGCCATGTGGGGCGTCCTCAGTGGTGCGCATATGTAAACTGTAAATCTCCCGTTCGTGTTGAGGATTGATCTAAGGTTTTGATTCAAAAGTATAATCCTATACAGCACATTGCACGATAGAAAACTATTCACACTAGTTACATCTGGCAAAAAGTTGATTCAACCCGCACCTAACCCAATCCGAAAAAACAGGGTCCGGGTTTCATATTTAGCTATTCGAATGTGAAAATGACCCGACCCAACCTGAAAAAAGTGGGTTGGGTCAATCTGTTGATCTGATTGTCAAGTCTAATTGGGATTGTTTATGTATTGTTAGAAGTTTTTGCTCTTACATTTTTTCTATTTAGTCTTTACTTTTTATTGTTTACTCTTTAAATTGTTAAATGTTAAATTTTTTTTATTTTATATTTAAAATTTGAAGGTTAATTATTTTAACTTTGATATTTTTCATATAATTTTTTTTAAATTTCAATTATTTTTTAAGATGACCCGAATTGACTCAGGGGTCAATCCTAACCCAAACATTTAGGATTAGGGTTTAGCATTTGATAACCCGATCCAAAATTAACCCGACCCCAAATCAATCCCACCTTAAATCAACCCGAAATACCTTGACCCAATCCGAACCCGACCCATCTAATCCAATTGCTAGGTCCAACACTATTTCTTAAAAAAATACCAAGGCGAATTGGGATGAGCGCGCCTCCGATGTGCGGCTAAGACATGCTGTGAGATCGGTGTGAGGCGTACTCTGTGGGAGCAGCCGGGGCACGTTTCACTCGTTAGTTTCAAATTTCGATGCGTGCAGAAGGAATTAGTGACTAACCAGTCCACTGGTACAAGTAAATTGTAAAACAGTTGGGGGGTATTTCAGGAATACGGGACTAGAGAGTGGGGGCAGGGCGGGGGTTAAAGCAAAAGGAAAAGGAGAGAATAAGGAAAAGAGAGACGATAATACGGCGGACACGAGGGGAGATTAAAATTCCGTTCAGTGGCGCCGTGAGCAGATTGAGATACCCTTCTTCGCTCTCTGGCTCTCTTCTCTATTGAAATCCAGGCTGTTGTCTTTTTTGTGGCTCTCTTCTTATACCTCTTCTTCTATCTACTCTGAAGACTCATTGAGATTGAGAGAAACATCTACAGCGACCAAAGGTGGATTCTTTTCTCCGGTTGTTTATTATTTCTTTTCCTGTATTTCTTGTACTGTTGTACATCGAAGAATCATTGGCGACGGTTTGTTCTCGCCTGCAAATCTAGGGCACACAACAAGTGTTCTTTATTTATCCATTGTTCAGCTTTGTTCCGCGCTGCCCCCTGGTTTCTTTGGCACGGGCGCTAGGCGTTGACAAGGGAGATCTCGCTTTATTGGAGTTCTGGTTTTTTGGTTGCCGATGCTATTGGTTGGTCTTTCATGCCGCCGGAACCCTTGCCCTGGGATCGAAAGGATTTCTTCAAGGAAAAGAAGTACGAGAGGTCGGATGCCCTAGGCTCTGTTTCCAGATGGAGGGACTCTCATCACGGATCACGCGAGTTCGCGCGATGGGGATCCGACGAGTTTCGCAGGCCTCCAGGTACGTGTTGGAGGTCTTTACAATTTTTAAGAGATTTAGGGCGTTTTCGAATCACTTATATTCCACTTTGTTTTGATGCGAAAATTAGGGTTACGCGCCTAGATTGTTCATCCTTTTCATGTTCTCTCGGTGGATGTGTTGCAAAGGCCAGAAAACCTAATTGTTTCCGAGAGAACTTGTTTTTAGTTCCTTTACCCGGTTGAGAATTTAATATTCCGTTTTCTTCATTTGTGGAGGATCCATTGCCTGGGTTCCTGGATTTCGTTTTTCTTTTTCTTTTTTCCCATTCGGTTCTTTGTTGACAGATCTAAGATTTCTGTTGCATGCATTCCTCCGTCTTGTCTTCTTTCGCCACTTTTAGACTTTTAGTTTTTTCTATCTAGTTTCTGCGAACTCTCTAATTGTAATACGCTGTTGGCCTGGATTTTGTTGTATTTTTCTGTTTTTATAGATTTTTTTTTTTTGCCGAAGGTCATGGTAAGCAGGGAGCTTATCAGCTGTTGTCAGAAGAATCCGGACATGGATGTACGCCCTCCAGGTCGAGTGATAGGATGGTGGAAGATGACTTCTGCCGGCAATCTGTTTCCCGTGCCGAGGGGAAATACAGCAGGAACAGTAGGGAAAACAAGGGATCTGTCAAAGGGCATCTGTGGGACACAGGCGATGCCTCCGTTAGCTCGTTTGGCAGGCAGCATGATATAAGTGCACAGAGGTCAGTCGATGATCTGCTAACATACGCATCTCACCCTCATTCTGACATTGAAAACTCGTCATTGGATCAACTCCACTTAAAAGATCATCATGATAAGATGGATAGTGTGCATGGCTTGGCCACAGGCCACAGATATAATAAAGACCATTCGCTTGGCTCGATGGCTTGGAAACCTCTGAAATGGACCCGATCAAGTAGCTTGTCATCACGAAGCTCCGGCTTCAGTCATTCAAGTAGCTCAAAGAGCATCAGAGCCAATCTGGATGATAGTAAGCCCGAGTTACAGCCTAGAAAAACAACTCCAGTTCAGTCTTCTTCTGGGGATGCTGCTGAAGGTGTAACGACTCTTACACCATTTGAAGATACGTATTCGAAGAAGAAGCAACGACTTGGATGGGGCCAGGGTTTGGCAAAATATGAAAAGGAGAAGGTTGAAGGTCCCGAGGAGACTACTGGCAGGATTGGGTTGATCGCATGTTCCAACAGCCCAAGAACAAGTAGTGGTCCTGTTCCAAGCTTGGCTGACAAAAGCCCTAGAATCACAGGTCTATCAGAATGCACATCTCCTGCAACTCCCTCTTCTGTTGCCTGCAGTTCATCACCTGGTAGGTTTTGTTGTTTCTTTTGATGTTGCTATTTGTTCAGAAGACTTTTCATACATTGCCACTTTTTTGTGATTTAAGTTTATCCGTTTAAAATTTCTAATGGAAAATGACATCATGCTGATCTCTCTGAGGTCTCATCATTAGGTTCCCAGTATAGTACTTGGCCAGTATCCTACTCTCTTTGGTTGTTTTCCTCCAACTCAATGAACATCCTTTGGAATGCCCTTTTCTTGATAATGTTACAAGATATATTATCCTGACAAATTTGTCTATTCGACATGATTTGCCACTTCTAAAACCCAATTATTTTTATTGTTTGGACCAGTAGGTTTAATTCCTTCAGACTAGGTTCACTGGAATCAAATCAGGTTTCTTGTTTAATTGTTTTACAACATTGAGAGGGCAAAATATTGATGTAGTATTGGAGTCTAATGACATCTGGAGTTGCCTATATCCAAACTCTAAGAACATGCATTGGTCAAATCTGCCATGAATGTGGTTCCAAATTACTCAGTATTGGAGGCACCGTATTCAAGATGGATTTGACCAACACATATGCTTAGCATTACTTTTGCTTATGTTTGAGTTACTTTTATCAATATGTAGGGTTTTATTGTCTTAACTTGTAAATTGTTTCCTGGGTGGTTTCTAAGAAATCCTTTGAGCTTTTAGCATTTTATTAATTTCTTAGGTGGTATCATGCAATTTACCAGCATCTGTGACCCACTTTTGAAGCTGAATCATCCCCCTTTTAGCTTGCTTTATCTTGGGTTCATACATACTTCATACAAATAATTTCCTGTAAAGTATTCTTTTTTAGCTTGTATTGAATACTCGTGTAATACAAAATATCACGTATTAGTAGTGCTAGTGCAAGTAGAAGGGTCTAAAAGAGCAGGGGGAAGAGAAGACTGAGGAAAATGTGTTCTGAAGTGGTAAAAATGATTCAAGGACTAAGGTTTGACAGAAAGCATTTGTCTTGATGGAGCACAAATTGTTCACTCATATTTCATTAGTAACGAATGCTTATTTCTAAAGCAGCAGATTATGTACTCTATGGTTTCAGCTTTGAATCTTTCTGCAACTACTGATGCATTAAATTAGATTTGAAATTGTTTACCTTTGGTTCCTTTATTTATAATTATATACGTTGGTCTGGTAACAGGTATGGATGATAAACATTATAACAAGGTATTGAATATTGAGAATGATGCATGTAACTTAGGTGGTTCACCTAGTCATGCGTGTCAGAATTGTGTTGAGGGGTTCTCTGTTGTTTTGGAGAATTTGGAACCGAATAAGCTGGATGATTTAAATTCTAAGTTTGCTGATTTGCTACAAGCTGAAGATGCAAGCTCTGGGGACTCCAGTTTCATGAAGTCTGCTGCCTTGAATAAGTTGATGCTATTAAAGAGTGATGTATTGAAGGCACTAGAGAAGACTGAATGTGAAATTGATTTATATGAAAGTGAACTAAAATCTTTGTGTTCTGAACCTAAAAAAGCTGGTTCTTCTCTGACAATGTCTAAATTCTTACAAGGTGCATTAGAGCCTTGTGAAGAAGCAGATGTTGCATCCAAGGAGTTTGTAAGACCTTCTCCCTTGCAACTAGTTTCTTCTGATGATATGCTTGTTGAGGTGCCTCTTCTATGTGATGGAAGATTGGATGCAGTTAATGCTGAAACTAAAGATGAAGATATTTATAGTCCAGGGACTGCTTCCTCTAAATCTGTTGAACCAGTATCCTCAATGAGTCAAATCTCTGTGTCTGATATGGTGAAGCATGATGAATGCTCTATGCAATGTGAAGCAATCAGGCCTTTAGCTGATGTGCCACACTATGATGATGCTATGCCACTTTCTGATGCAGAAAGTGTACTGCATTCGTCAATAATGGCATTCAACAGAGAATCTGCAAGAAAAGCATACGAAGTATTTAATAATCTATTGCCATCTGACAGACATCCGACATTTTCTGTGGGTTGTAGCAATTTGTCATCTGAGCACAACAATCTCATCAAAGAGAAACTAGCAATGAAGAAGCGTCTTCTGAAGTTCAAGGAGCGGGTTCTTACTCTTAAGCTTAGGGCCTTTCAACACCTGTGGAAGGAAGATTTGCGTTTACTTTCGATAAGGAAGCACCGAGCGAAGTCTCAGAAACGTTTTGAGGTAAGCTCACGAACATCACATAGTGGGAGTCAGAAGCATCGGTCATCTATCCGCTCTCGATTTACTTCACCCGGTAATCCCTCCCTCTCTCTCTCTCTCTCACACACACACACACACATACACACACGCATACATACACCCTTCCCACATGCATACTTAACATATAGATTTTGGTGTCTTAGAGAGGAGTCCTCCCTACCTTTTCAGTTACATGCAAATTATCATGCTGTTTTGATCATAAATTAAAATGGATACAGAATAACATCACATGTTCAGATAATTGGAACAATTTGCATGGAATAAATATATTTTGCTTTACCAATAAAAAGAATAGATGGATGTTGTTGTTTTACTAGTGTTCGAATATTTTATGCAGAATAAAGCCTTGCCTATCTATCATGTATTTCACCATACATCTTGCATGCTGTCCATATATTTTGATGTTGTATACCTTCATAACTCTCAAGAGCGTGGTTCTTAGAGCCTGCATTAGAGGTGATTGTTGGATTTCTTGTGATTTGCTTTTTTAATTCTACCAATGTCATTCACTAAGGCATGGTTTTAGGAACATGCACTCCTGAGATTGTCGACGATTATTGGGCTTTGATGAAATTTGATTGTTCAATCTCTTCATTACTTGATTTCATCTACTGGAATTCCTTGGCTTCCAAGGGTTCATAAATTGGCTTGTTCTATGTTAATGAAGGTTGTGGTTTGTGTATGCTTTCATTTTAGTGAGGGGATGGTCATAGTTATTTTTAAACCCTTTAATGGGTTTCTTATTGTTTGTTGAAGAATTTTGGCCTGGCTGTCTGGCAAATGGATTTGTTAGAGCTCTCCTGAAGTTGGTGATATTAAATTGCTTTTCTGGCGGTTCTGTTTGTGATCCCTATGTTCTATCTTTTGAACCTTTAGTCCTTTTGGAGAAGGGGGGGTGCATTTTGAAAAGTTGTCTCATTCAAATTCTTGGAAGTATATAATGGTTGTAAGAGGTGCTATGAACTTCTTTGGACAATCTCTACTGTATTGGTTATTCTAATTGATTAGTGGTGATTGTTTGGTGCAATATTAGAATGTTTGGATGACAAACACGGGAACCTGGGTTTCAGTAAAAAATCAGTAAATTGTGCAAGAAATGTCAAATATTAGATCCATATTCAGTCCATACCTCCTATATCCCTAGATAGCCACAACCAACATTGGGTAACTAGTTATTTTGTCTTTTTCCAATTTAGTTACTATTTGGGCTGTTTTCTTCTATGATTGCTTTTTTCTATGAATTATGGGAGCTAAGAGTTTTCTCAAGAGATTGCTTGGTGGTGGGGGAGTTGTGGTTGGCCGTTGGAAGGAAAAGATATATGGTGATGCTGTGGTGCATAATCTCAAATATGATGTTTGCTATTGCCTTGTACATTTTGAATTTTCTTGTTGAACAAGAGACTTGGGTTGTGTTTGGTTTGAAGAAAAAATGTAGGTAAAGGAGGGAAAGGTGGAGAGGAATCTATACAAAGTTTGTATAGATTCCCCTTCCTCTCCCTTCCTTTTCATTCAAACCAAACACAACGTTAAATGTCATGATCTTCTTTTGGTTTAGAGGAGAATGCAATCTTAATTTTCAACTTTCAACCATCATAATTGTAGCATTAAAGTAGTGCTTATCATAGTTGTCAAGGCGGCGACAAGGCGCCCTTGGAGTCTCGCCTCGCCTAATTGCCAAGCAGTTTTCTATAGCGTGTTATAACAAACTTTTATATTCTTATTTTTTTGAGGTTATAATTATAAAATAGACATTTTTAAACTAAAATATTCATTTTTTGTGTTTGTATACTAATTTCTTTTTGTTATTTTCTTATTTGTTGGGGTTTAATCAATACAAACATTGCTAAATGCTGTATTGAACCCTCAAAGACTTCAAAACCTAAACCAATAAGTAAGAAAGAACATAAAATGTTGTCTAATCAACACATTTCTTATTTTCTTTACTAATTTTGTGTTTTTATATACTAATTTCTTCTTCTTCTTCCACCTTTTCTTTTCTTCTTTTTCTATAACAGAAATAGGGATTCAGCCCCTATGTTTTTTGAATTTTATTTTCTTTTTCTTTTCATGATCATGTTGGAATATGTTGATTTTCTATACTTTAACATGAAGTTTATACTTTTCTTATGAAAATTATGGATATTTATTAAGGAAATATGATTATGGAACCTAGGGAACTACCCTAAGATACATGTTTTTACTTTTAAAAAAAAATCCATCCCCTAGGCGACTAGGCACCCCCATTGCCTAGCCTCGCCTTGGCGCCTTGAAATGGTGCTTATGGTAATATTATAGAGGGCTTATTTCTGGGAGAACTAGGTAAGTTGAGGTTTTGCATGTAAACAAAGGAAGAGCTGGCAAAATGCTCTTGTATTGCAAGCTCATTACATGCTGGCATTTCTGGGGAATTGTGGATAGGGATTTCCAAATGAAAAGAATTGGATATGGTTTTGATAGAGCTGTAGCAGTTGGCATTGCCTTTTCCTTGTTCCAGAAGGTATTGACTTGTGAGATTGCAGAGGCTTAGAGATTGTGGTTTAAAACTGTGGATGGTTGAGGCTTCTGTGCCAAAAAAGGCTTGAATTGACAATATTGTCAAACATGACTTTGGGGGCATTGTTTTTCAATTAATATTATGTGGGATGAGATTGATGTCTAGTTACTATATGTTTACACTATAAACTCATTTGCATTTTGGAAAAGACTTGCAAGGCTGGATGCTTGTAGGAACACTCCTGATTGTACACAATTCTGCTGTAATCATCCTATATGGCTACAAAAGCATGAGAAGCTTGTGGTTTGCTTGACATGCCCTAGATTTGGAAGATCAATTTGATGAAATAAGTATTACTCAAAGGTTATGCTTATGTAAGACAGGCTATGGATATTATATGTGAGATAGTCTGAGGTTTTTTTTTTTGGGTGAAGAAAGTAGGGAGGTTCTTTGATTGACATTGTTGCTTGTTTAATAAAACTGTGGCAAGTAAATCACAAGGGTTAGGCATTTTATTTTTTCAATCCCAGCATATTTGGTGGATATACCTTTGACATTGTAGTTGTCAGGTTTTTTGAGTTTTTAGTGTTCTCTACCATTTTACTTGCAAGGACAAAAGAAGCCATTTTCAGTTTGGTTAAATAATTCATATATTTGAGTCATCTCTTTAGTGTGAACTTGTTTTCAGCTTTTAGTTTGTCTTTGTTGTTATTTCTAAAGTAATCATATTTCTCATGGAACTAAGTAAATTTTCTGTTGATGAGTTCATTCTCCAATCTATTGTTATTTGCATCATATTTCTTTTTGATAGAAGTTTGGTTATACTCTGGCAGAGTAAATTTTGTTTCTACCTTCTCAATGTATGTGTGATCATTATGAACATTGAAAGATCTAAATTTTGAAGTATTGCTTGCTTTCATATTTTGTTGTCATCTGCTGAATGTGATAACTTGGCCTTGGTTCCTAATGCAGAATATATTGTGCCTCTAGATTATAAGAAAACTGTTATGAATGTTAACTTGTTGTAGTTGTCTTCATTTAAAAATTTGGTTTTATCTTATTCTTCATTATCTTCATTTACTGCAGCAGGTAACTTGACCTTGGTTCCAACCACAGAGATAGTAGATTTTGCTGGCAAGCTGCTATTGGATTCCCAAATTAAGATTTGCAGGAGTAGTCTGAGGATGCCAGCTTTAGTCGTGGATGAAAAGGAAAAGAGGCTTTTAAGGTTTGTTACAAGCAATGGGTTAGTTGAAGATCCATGTGCCGTTGAGAAGGAAAGGGCATTAATCAATCCATGGACATCTAAAGAGAAGGAGATTTTCATGGAAATGCTATCAACCTTTGGAAAAGACTTCAAAAGAATTGCATCTTTCCTTGACCACAAGACTACAGCAGACTGCATTGAATTTTACTACAAGAATCACAAGTCTGAGAGCTTTGGAAAAATAAAGAAAAAACTGGAATTCAGCAATCAAGGAACAAATATTCCTAGCAGCATGTACCTAGTCACTTCGGGAAAGAAGTGGAATCGTGAAGTGAATGCTGCTTCACTTGATTTGTTGGGGGCAGCTTCAGTGATTGCGGCCAGTGCTGATATCAGTTCGAGGGTTCCTCAGTATTGTGGTGGGAAGTTGTTTTTGGGTTATGACCATGATATGCCCCGGCATGACGATTGTATTTTAGAAGGGTCCAGTAGTATAGATATTATTGGGAATGAGAAAGAAGCTGCAGCTGCTGATGTATTGGCTGGTATCTGTGGTGCTCTGTCTTCTGAGGCTATGAGCTCTTGTGTTACAAGTTCTGTTGACCCAGGAGATGGTAGTCAGGAGTGGAAGTGCCAGAAGGTGAGCTCAACAAAAGGTCGACCTTTGACCCCTGAAGTTTCACACACCATTGATGATGATGAAACTTGTTCTGATGAGAGCTGTGAAGAAATGGATTCTATGGATTGGACAGATGAGGAAAAGTCGATCTTCATCCAGGCACTAAGATTGTATGGTAAGGATTTCTCAAAGATCTCTCGATATGTCAGTACAAGGTCAAAGGATCAATGCAGGATTTTCTTCAGTAAGGCTCGGAAATGTCTTGGTTTAGATCTGCTTTATTCTGGGCCAGGCAATGAAGAAGTTCCAGTGAGTTGTACCAATGGAGGAAGGAGTGACACAGAGGATGCTTGTGTTGTGGAGATGGAATCGGCTATTTGCAGCACTCAGTCATGTTCTAGAATGGAAGTTGATTTGCAGGCATCTGTAACAAACATAAACAGTGAAGTATCTGGGCATGCAGAACCCACTCATTTACAAACAGACCATGATAGATCAAGTGAAAAGCATGTGACAGAACATTTGGATCAAGAGGATTCTGAGATTAAAGTGGAAAATGTGGTTCCGGATGACTGTTGGGCATTGAAGGAGCCGGTTTCAATTTTAGGTAGTGGCAACAATTCTGCTGATCCTGATGTCAAGATTGATGCAACTCCAGAGGTTGTAAGCAGTGAAGATGCCGCAAGAGTAGATGCTGCTTTGAGTGCTGAACCTTCTGTGCTGCTTTCTGGAACTGTTGCTTTCATTGGTGACAGAGAAACTGGTGGAAAAGTAGAAATTCACCAGACTGTCATTTTCAAGGAAGAGTCTCCATCTGTTGGAGGGCAGAAGGAACTCAAACAGTCTAAATTAAATGCTGCAGTTGAACTCCCTGTACAATGTGGTTCTTCTGAGGAGCCAAAAATTGATTCAGAGGAAAGACAACATTGGTCTGAGAAGGGTTTAAATGATCGGCAGGAAGCTTCAAGTGGTGCTGAACCAATTAGTTCTGCAAGTACCTCATGTTGCTTAATACCAGATTCAAGTGTAAAAGAAAATTGTCTTCCTGTGACAGCAACAGATAAAAGAGTTAAAGAGGACTTGATATCGCCTGCCACATACCAGCATCAAATTTCACTTGAGCTTCTAACTTCTATGCAGAAGCCCCAGGCAATCTCTTGGCAACAGAAAGAAAATTGTCCTGTTTCTGTGGGTTTGGATCTTCCTGATTCATCTGTCCATTATGAGAAGTCAAGGCGGGGTGCATCATCTTCTGCCCTTGATCTTGAGGTGCATGATGATAAGCAACAGCAGAAGTCTGCAACTACAGACATTTATCAGCAATATATGTTAAGTCATAACTCCCTGAACCGTGTTGATCCTGTGCAGATTCTTAGAGGCTACCCACTGCAGGTGCTGAATAAGAAGGAAATAAATGGAAATGCAGAGACAAAAAGCAGTGAAAAGTCTGCCATTGTCCAGAACTTCTCCAAGATGGACAGAAACTCTCATTGCAATCAGTATCTTGTGCAGGATTTGTACAATGAGAAATGCACTAGTTCAAGATTCCCTCATTCAGTGGCTGAGCTTCCACTTCTGCCCAAGAGCCTTGAACAATCCTCCATTGATCATACAAGATCTCATTCCCTGAATGGTTCAGAAACAGAAGAGCAGTCACGTAGGACTGGTGATGTGAAATTATTTGGTCAGATCCTTAGCCATCCTTCTGTGCCAAAGCCAAATCCTACTTCTCCAGAGAACAATGAGAAGGGTACATCTTGCAAACCAAGCAGCAATTCATTGAACTTCAAGTTTGCTCCTAATCATGGTATTGATGGAAATGCTGTTACACTCAAGCTTGATCCTAATAATCATTCAGGTTTGGAGGATATTCCAACGAGGAGCTATGGTTTCTGGGATGGGAATAGAATACAGACGGGGCTATCATCGCTCCCTGATTCAGCTATTTTATTATCAAAATATCCAGCAGCGTTTATTGATTATGCTACATCATCCTGTAGAATGGAGAAGCAGCCATTGCCAGCAGTTGCCAAGAGGAATGATCGCAACATGGGCTGTGTGTCTGTATTTCCGACCAAGGATGTCAATGGTACTGGGGGTTTGACAGATTATCAGGTGTACAGAAGCTATGATGGGATGAAGTTGCAGCCATTTACGGTAGATGTGCAGCGACATGACATACTCACAGAACTGCAAAAACGGAATGGATTGGATGGGTTGTCTAGTTTTCAACATCAGGGAAGAGGTGCGGTGGGGATGAATGTTGTGGGTGGTGGGATCCTTGTTGGAGGGAGTTGCACTGGTGTTTCAGACCCTGTAGCTGCCATAAAAATGCATTATGCTACCAGCGAAAGGTATGGTGGTCAGTCTGGTAGTACGAGGGATGATAAATCGTGGCATGGGGGAGACATTGGCAGGTAGTTGAGAGTTAACAGTGGTGAAAAGGGCTGCTCTCAAGTACTGTCCTTCGCGGTGCAATCTTCTATTTTTTTAACCTCCTTTGTATAATAGTTTTTGTAACTTCAATTGGTACCAAAAGGGAAATGGATGGTTTTCCTCCTCCCGTCATTCATTGAAAATTTTTAGGTGCTTGTATCATGCCGCTGTAATTGTTGTATTTGATGCAAAATACAGAAATAATCTGGAAAATAGATTACGTGGGGGTAGCTTCACTTGCTCCACGCGTTCCCGCTCGTTCAGTTGAACAACCATTATAATCTTATGCCTTTTTCACAGATTTGTTTTGGGAGATGGAGAAGGAAAACCGGGAATTTCGATTTCCCTTGTACATATGAAAGATGCCTTTGATCTGGAAATTATTCTTTCGCTTTCTCATGCTGTGATTGCTTGATGTTTCTCTTTATTGATTTTGCCATCGACATTTGAGGATATTCCAGTTCCATAAAAGACACGTCTCCTTTCCCTTTTGTGGTGATTAACAAGTGGTCAAATCAAATGCGAAGAGAAGGGAACCAGTAAGATAGAACAATTGCAACAAATGTTGGCAGTGACCAGTGATGGGTAACAGTCTATTCTGATAGTCGAAGCGAACTTCCAAGGATAAATTCAAGGCAAATTTTGATGAGCCGAGCCCGAGACGCATCTTGATTAATGACTCAATGCTTGCATTAGTTTATTGTATTCTTTGATCGAATCGCAGAAGCTGTCCTATGACGATAGAAGTCATCACTCCTACACAGTACGACTCCTAAGACTAACCTCGTCCTTCCTCTTTATAAATTACAACCAAAATCAGCGTGCCCCAAATCTATATTTCTGGATTGGAGCTTATTTATCGTCATTATCTGTAAAAGTCGGAGCGAAGATGAAAAAAAGAAGTCGGAGTGGAACGTGGGTCCCCGTTTTACTTTGATTTTTGATTTTTTGGGTCATTTACTTAAGACATCCCTTATGGTTTTACGTATTTACAAAATCCTATCCTCTAGTTTGCATTTTATTAACACACCCCAATAGTTTGCAATTATCTATTCAATCCTTAGTCGGGAATATTTTGTATTTCTATTTTGTAATGGTCACTTGACATCTTAAAGATTTAAACCAATGTTTTCAACCCGTTGTTGATCCGGCCCGTCGAATCGTTTAAACTGTCACATGGCCAAGGAACCAGGTGTCTTGTCCTGCTATTTTTGTTAAAAAAAACCATTTTTTTGGCCTCAAATTGTAATTTTTAATATATTTTTTTATAAATTACAAAAAATTAAAATTGAATTAAAAAATAAATTAAATATAAAATAATTTATATAACATATCTAAAGCATATTTATACATTATTTGTTACACACTTAATATATATGTGATGATGTGGTATGGTCTGAACTGTTCGACCCAACTGATCGAACCGGTGACCTACGACTTGGAGGCAAAAACAGTTTGGCCTCTGGGCCGGTTTTTAAAACATTGTCTAAAATCGAATGGAAAATGTGGAAGGGTATGGATTCAAGGTTTTTTATTGTAAAAATGCCCCTAAAAGTTCTCATATCACATGTAGTCCATCCATTTTCCAAAAAAAGTTATGTGTGTAGAGGCCTTATTTGTTTATTAGGTTGATAAGAGAATTATAAGAGTTATTTTGAGTAACATCCTTGGACCACGCTCCTTTATATTTTTGGCACACCTTAATGGGTCAATAGTTCTTGATGGAGGATCGGTTTCAATAAATATGTGAAACTATTGGAGGTATAAGTAAATGACCCTTTTTTTGAGGTGCAATGCAAAAATCATTCATTCATTATCATTTTGGAGTTTTATACAAAAGCAATTATAGAAGAAAGAAATTCTGGACACACTGACCAAGTAAATATTATAGAGCGAACTCAAAGCATGTCTTGCCATTCCTTGTGTGGCCATGTTAGCCATTCTTCTAAGGTCCTGTTTGATTTCACTTAGCATAAGTATTTGTTTTAACAAGTGCTTATTTTAAGTGCGGGGACCACACATTAAGTAATTAAGTGCTTATGCATGTTTGGTAAAAAAGTCACCAATAAGTGCTATTTTAAAAAAAGAAGCACTTGTAGAAAAAGTGATCTGAGTTGTTTTTTTTAGCACTTAATGGAGAAGTGCTTATTTGAATGACATGGGACAATGCAGTCCCTGATTATTTTTAATCCCAAACTACCCCCACGCGAGGGTTTTCTTCTCCTTCTATTCAAACTCCAAACACTTAGTGGGCAGCGTAGGATACTTGGTTTGTGACTGGCAACGATCGGCAGTGAGAAAAAAAACGACCAGCGAACCAATCATTTTTCTAGGTTTTCTTAACAGCTGAAATTCCCTCTTTGGTGTGTTCTTAGATCTGTCTTAGGCAAGTTTAACAGTGACAACCCACTGTCCAAATGCCAGCGAACGAATGTTAGTTTGCCTAAATGAACCCCGTCCATGTTTGATGTTTTTTGGTTTTTTTGGACGAATATTTGGCTGAATTGATTTTTTCTTATTTTATAGATGAGAAATTCGAAATATTTTGGGCATTTGTTGGCTGCATTATATGTGTGATGATTTTTGGGCTTTTTTTTTGTTGAAGATCATGCAAAAAATATGCTAAAATATGTGGTTGTAGCATTTTTCTTGATTTTTTTGTATGAATAATTAGTTAAATGATTGCAGTTTTTATTGATTTGTGATTGCATTTTTTATTATTTTTATTTGAATATTTATGATGCCTTTTATATTTTGTTGTGATTAATATTTAGTTAAATGTTTACATGTTTTCTTGACTTGAGATTGCATTTTTTCTTTATTTTTATACGAATATTTGTGATGTTTTTATATGTTGTTGTGATTAATAATATGAAGAATATATTTGCATTTTTTATTGACTACTAACTGTGCACGTGCTTTGCACGTGGCAATTCTAGGTGATGATAATGATAATAATAATAATAATAATAATAATAATAATAATAATAATAATAATAATAATAATAATAATGTATCCAATTTTTTTATAAACTTTATGGATTTTTTAACATTTTTTATTATTAATCAGATATGGATTGAAAATCTAAATTTAATTACATAAACACCTCATCCAAACATATGGTAATCGGGTCGAGTTGTGAAGTTTCAAGTATCATTGATAGGCCTATTTGCTTGGGTAGATTCTTATTTTTTGTAATATTTAATCTTTTTGGTGTATCGTCTTTTTTTTGTTCATTTATAAAAAATAATGTAAGATTTAAGTAGAGGGAATTAAATGGGGTGAAAAGTAGTAGTTCAAATTACAATTAACTTTTATTATTTATTTATGACATTAAATGTTAACATGTTTGACCCAAAATTTGAACTATTGATCTTTGGCAAATAGTAAAATAGTTTCATTTTTAGTTTGTTCAAAATTATGTATTTCATTTTCATTACCAATAAAAAAATTATATTTTTTACTTATTTTTTTTAATTTGATTAATAAAAATATCATAAATGTGTCAAATTTTTTCTACATTTTTGTAAGTTTTTATATTTATTTCTATTTTAAAAATTTTATTACCTAACTATGACTTCGTAGGTTAATCAATTTGATTTGGATGGTTGAATTGCTTAATCACCACTTGGATTAAAAATGGTTTTATTTTTGAATCAGTTTTAAAATATATGGGTTTATATTGTTAAAAATATTGACACTGATCTAAACATAATTCAAATATAAGACTTAATGAGAGGGGATTAAATGAGGTGGGAAATAATAATTGAAGTTATATTTTCAATCTTACCATTAGAGATGAACTAAGTACACAATTATGGACATTTTAATTGCCATTAAATCTGACATGAAAGCTGTAATAAAATGACTTTTATATCCTTTCTCAAACAAAGAAGTAGAGGGTAGTTAAGAGAAAATGGGAGTTAATAATTCAAGTATAAGACTCAACGAGAGGGGATTAAATGATGTGGGAAGTAATAATTGAAGTTACATTTTCAATCTTACCATTAGAGATGGACTAAATACACAATTATGGGCATTTTAGTTGCCATTAAATCTGGCATTAAAGCTATAATAAAATGACTTTTATACCCTTTCTCAAAAAAGTAGAGGGTAATTTTAGTCCAAAAAAGTTTTACAATGCATTCACACTTTTATATATAGTATAGATTTGTGATTGCATTTTTTCATGAATTTTTATATGAATATTTGTTAAATTCACATTGCATTTTTTATTTGTTAAATATAAAAGGTGATACTTTTATTGGGAATGTTTTTGTATTTTATTTCTGAATAATCAGAGTTTTCATTAATTATTTTATTATTAATATGCATCCTAATTTATTTTTTAAATATCCCATTGCATATTGAGGATGTTTTTTGTATTTTCTTTTTGAGTAATCAAAATTTTCATTAATTATTTTATTATTAATATGAGTCCTATTTTATTTTTTAAATATCTCATTGCATATTGTGGATGCTTTTTGTATTTTCTTTTTGAATAATAATAAATTCCATTAATTATTTTATTATTAGTATGTATAATAAATTTTATCCTATTTATTATGTATGAGTGAAGTGAGGGCTAAAATTATCATTTATGTCAAAATAATCACTTGTGGGGAAAGTAACTCACCAAACATCCCCACTCGAACAAGTGCTTAAAAAACACAATAAGTGATTGGGCAAGTGAGTCACCAAATAGCCTTAAGTGGTTGTTAAAATAAGTACTTATGATAAACACTTGTGCAACAAGTACTTATTTTAACAACCACCTAATCACCCAACATAGTCTAACATTGACAACTTAGTTGAAAGGATGGCAGGTAGATAAGTTCCTGCAATTAGACATGTTCATGGACCAAGATCGGGCTTGGCTTTTGCCAAAATTTGAATGCGCCGAACCTGAAGCCCGAGACTATAGTGTAAAGTAAAGTCCAAAACCAAGCCCATGAATAGGTCTACCTGCAATCAACCATAACAGTGCTAATGCACCACTGTAGAGATGGTTGACAATAGATGCAAACATTACCTTCAAGAACAACGTTCTGGATAGATAGCTCAATAGCAAACCTTTAGGCATGAAAGAAAGCAAGAGCTTCAAATACCATCAGTGAGTAGTGGAGAGAAAATATAACGAATCCACGTTGATGTAGGAATATTTGGCCGACCTGTAGATCTTGACATGTGGTGTTGGCCGGATGCATCTTGGTCGTCCCTCATCAACTGCTATAAACCACTCTCAACTGCTCCTTTCTAAGGCAACTCCGGCTATAAAAGGGGCTTCCACATTGAGGTAAACACGCACAGACTTAAGCTCTAAGCTTCCTCACTTGCTTGGTTCCGAACCCTCACGGCCCTCAGCTAACTTGATCGCTAGAGTCTTCGCACCTGGGAT